ATACCACACCTTCTTTTTTATATTTACAAATACGTTTGCATTACTCGATTATTTAGTCTCGCAAATAGTGTCTTCACCTCCAAATTAGAATCATGTGGTATGATTTTCTGAGAGTACAATTACAGGGATATGATTAAAATAATGTATTTGGCCTTGTCTGTTAAGGGGTCACCATCAGTCCAAAAAGTGCAAATTGATTATTTGTTGTAAAAAACTTGGAGCAGATCATTATCATGATCCAATTTGAGATTACTTTTAATGTTGTCTTAATGAAAATGAAACATAATACTTTAATCATACAAGATTAGTTATCAGTTTGACTTAACATTCAGAAACCGTTTTGTTAAGTCTAAAAAAAGTCTAGATTTAGATCTTGACATTTCTTATGTTTTATCATTTTGTAATTTTTCATTTCGTGTTGTTTTGTTCCTGTTATTTTAAGTTCAGTCTTTGCCTTACATAATTATACAAAAATATGATTATAAATGAATCACATTAGTTTTAGGAAAGTATGCTTGTGTGCTACACAATATATCTTAAATGAATTTTACGAACAAACAAAAAATGTCAGACGATTCATATTATGATAATCATTCTTGTTAGGATGAAAACACAGTGACACAGTTTACAACTAGCAATGGCATCTACATGTCTTTGTGTAGTGAGCTGGTTCTATGCCTTTCCTACCAAATATTGCCAAGACATTCCCTCGTAGCTACAGTGAAATAAAATAAAACATTAAAACATAATTACACGTAATTAAATTTTTTTGTTTTAAATCAATTAATTTCATGTTTCAAAATAGTAATAACTTAAACGAACGGATATTGATTGCTGTATTCAATAAGCAATGCTGGATTATTAAGAAATAATACGGCTGCCATTAATTATTTCGATTCTAATATGACAATGACGGTACTTTCGTCAACCGTGAATGCCCTATACACATGACACTGGTTAGCTGTTACGTTTTACCACCCGTATTTAAAAACAGAATTTTTATTATTATTTTCTTGAATATTGTTAGAGTGTTCACATTCATCTAATTTTTATTTTATTCAAATGTTGTCTAGTTTCATAATGATTATTATATGAACAGAGTATGTCAAATTTTGGTTGATAAATTCGCCGAACATTTGTTTTGCTGCAACCAAATAATTATTTCCTTTTGATTTGAATGGTAAAATATTGGAATATAATGTATTTATCTTTAATGATATTTGTTAACAATTTTAATAAGTCTAGTCAGTCAATTTATACAGTATAATAATAAATAAACTCATAAATCCTCTTCATGTTTTACAATTCGTACTCATTCAATGTTAGGTCAATGTCAGAAAAATATAGTTTGTTTTGTATGAGGCTGAGAAACTGGGAATTTTTTACCGAGTCCTTCCCCAGTTTTGTGCCAAATACAAAAAAGGTATATTTTTATGACATTGACTTAATATTGTTTTTATACTGCATCTTAAATTAATGCATTTAAAGATCCCTTATTTTGATCCATTAATGAACTCTTAGTTGTTAAAAAGGTTTTCCATGATGAAATTGACATTGCACAAAATATAGGTGCTACTATATTTAGGAAATACACACAACATGTTGCTGTATATTATAAATCATTGTTTTTACTCATTCCAAACTGACTATGTTGTTCCTTTCACATGCAACAGACAATTTGTACATACATTCCAAAATTAACAAAAATAATAATGAAGAATTAAGTTCATTATTTTTTTGTATTAAAATAGAAAGGAGGTCGTTTGAAGGGGCATAACGCGGAACAGCCAGTTGTGTGTATTAATGCGTTTGCGCTAAAGGTAGATATACTGTGATTATACTGGTTGGCGATAATAGGTCGTCATATTAGAATTGGAAATAGTAGATATTGAAGAATTTTTGCAATGTTAAATTAAATTCCAAATGTTATTTCAAATTGTTTTTGTTAATCCGGACTGCTAAATTTTGTAGCACAGGAAGTTGCAATACAAACTGTCGCACCCTAGCTAAATTTCCTTTTAGGGCTCTTTCAAAATCGTCTTAGTTATGTTAACATTCTAAATGCTTCGTTCTTTGTTTGAATATAATGCCAATGTGTTTGGCGATATAGTGGTAATTTCCACCTGCGTTAGCAAACATGTCTATCAAGATCTCACACAAAAAACTAAAATATACCTACATATTACTGAAATATTTTTCAAAACATACATTATACTTTATTTCAAACCTTAACAAAAATGTACATGAAATTAGAATATCAACTGTTGGAACAATCGCCACCTTCTGTTTTTTTTTACATTTTGATATGTTCACTATAGATAAAACTACCTGTACATCTGACATAATTTGCCGGCAAAGTCGTTTGCATTTTTTGTTTATATTGGTAAACGGACTGAAAGTATATATATTCTTTCTTTTTTGTTATGGATTTGGGTTTGTGTTAAAGTGAAATGAGCCACTTCCACTCTGTGTAGTATTTGTATTTGTATCCATCTGATGAGTTAAGCCTTTTTCAACTGATTTTTATAGTTCGTTCTTATGTTGTACTGTTACACCACTGTCCCAGGTTAGGGGGAGGGTTGGGATCCCGCTAACAAGTTTAACCCCGATACATTCTGTATGTATGTGCCTGTCCCAAGTTAGGAACCTGTAATTCAGTGGTTGTCGTTTGTTTATTTGTTACATTTTTGTTTTTCGTTCATTTTTTGTATATAAATTAGGCCGTTAGTTTTCTCGTTTGAATTGTTTTACATTGTCATTTCGGAGCCTTTTATAACTGACTATGTGGTATGGGCTTTGCTCATTTTTTAACGCCGTACGGTGACCTATAGTTGTTAATTTCTGTGTCATTTGGTCTCTTGTGGAGAGTTATCTCATTAGCAATCATACCACATCTTCTTTTTTATATATACTTACAGTAAACAACTACCGTTATTGCACGCCCTGAAAAAATCGATGGTCCAATGAAACACGGTTGATGATGATACCATAACAAAGTATGTATACGTATCTTTGTAGAAGAACTGTAAAAGTTTATCCAACAGCAATATACTTCGTACTTTATTTTGCCTTTTTTACTTTTTGTGATTCGAGCGTCACTGATGAGTCTTTCGAAGACGAAACTTGCGTCTGGCGCAATAACAATCCTGGTATCTATGATTAGTTTAAATGAGGATGTTTAATTTGATGTATGCCTTTTTTGCTTCTTTGTTACATTTGTTTGTTTTTATAGTGATTAAGATGAAAACACAATGTTGACTGCTGTACCCCTATTTTTGACATTTTTACCTACTGTGTCTTTGTTTTGTTCACGCATCGTTGTCAATATAATGTAATTTGATGCGACTGTCATACAAGTGAGAGGTTTAGCTAGCTATAAAACCAGGTTCAATTCACCATTTTTTACATAAGAAAATGTCTGTACAGAATATGACAGTTGTTATCCATTCGTTTGATGTGTTTGAGCTTATGATTTTGCCATTTAATTAGGGACTTTCCTTTTTGAATTTTCCCCGGAGTTCAGTATTTTTGTGATTTTACTTTTTATATACTAGATAAATATAGCTAATGCCTAAACGTACATTCTATGGAAACAGCTAAGATAAAATTATTCGCCTTTATTCTGGTGTGTAAGTTGTTTCACTTCTATTATATACTTTACCGGTCATTGTATACGAGGTGGTGAAAAATTAGACACAACTTGAATACTGTAAATTCATAAATATGCGAGTATTTTTTTTAATTAATGCAAATATTGCAACTGGGAGAGGGTTGCAATTATTAGAACTCTGATACATATATTTGTTTGGAGATTTTTCTTAAAATTTATTGCTAATTTTGTATTATTTCCCCTAAAAAAAGAATTAAAAAATGTAACAAAAATATCGTATGTCCTTTTGTGATATTTTATAATCAATTTCACATTTTTTACGTGATTTCCTTTAGTGTTGGAGTACGAACATTTTAAAACCAAACCTTTTAGATGCTATTAATCTCCTGCTGTGATTATTCAGGAATGGATAGGATAATTTCTAACCATGTCTTTTAATCTTTTAATGGGGAAAAAAACTTCGAAAGACCAAGTGTTAGTAATTTTAGTTTACGACTTTCTATTAAATGTGTTTTCAAATGGGCAGAGTTGTCTCATTGGCACTCATACCACATCTTCTTATATCTATATGCATTCATGTTAACATTAAATGGTAAACAACATGTAATGATGTATAGTCCTCCGAAACACTTTTCTGGAGTTAACATTAACCAGGAGTTCGAAAACTAAAAAATTCAAAGCTAGGGGTGCATTAATACGAAGAAACATTAGAAGCTTACCTAATAAACATACAAAATGGGACATACAAAGAATAAGCAGAATTCGTTTAAGGTCAACTTTGCCTGATGAAGTTGTAACCTGTGTATTTTGATTTATAAAACTTATCTGGAATGTGAGAAAATTATATCAACCATCGGGACTCGCTATCAATTTTATGTGATTGAAGCGCTTTTCTGATTTCTTCCCTGTGTGGGATGCATGAAAAAAAACAACAGGAAACTGAAGATAGATTCTTGCGACCGAAAAAGGATACTTATCAACAACATACAAATCGTAAGTCAAATGAAGACGCACAACAGTGTGACGGTGGTTTCATTTAATGATAAGGATTACCATGTCGAAGTCCATGTTCATGTTTCATTAGTTTGTGTTCTTTTTTTTTTTTTTTGTCTATTAATGTACATGTTTGAACACACAACAACCTAACAGTTTATATATAGTTATAACTAGATTTTTCATGCTGTACACTTAAGTATAATTACGACAAAGCTGTAGGTCTTTATGAAACAAGACATATAGCATTTACAAAAATTGCTTTTTATTCTTTAGGACAACTGATTCATGGAAGATTGATGTTGTACTGTTTTTTGTTTTTTTATTTGTTTTTTCACATATCCATTTCGGGCGAACGGATGATTTTGATATGATATAGGTAAATATTTGTTACTTACATATTCAAACCCCGATCGCTAAAATATGAAACAAGAATGAAGTTATCTAAAGGCAACATTTTTAAACTATTTCAAATGCGTATTGAAAAATTTTGTTGACTAATAATCTTAATCACACACTGTTAATTCAGAAATGTATTCTTGAATAAAAGACAAAACATGAAAGATTGATAATTGGGCTTTATCAAATTTAAAGTGCAAATTCTTATTGAGAATCTAAAACTGTTGCAATATTTGCAAACAAAAACCAATATGGCAAATATTTCAGAAGTTAAATAAGTAAAATTTAAAATGAATTATTTTCATTTAGAATCATGCAAAGATAGAAGCGCGAAAAACGATATTGATAAACACAACAACAATGTAACGATATATGTTTAAATAATTAAGAAAATGCAGGATTATGACAGTTGTTGTCCATTCATTTGATTTTGCCATTTGATTAGGGACTTTTGCGTTTTGAATTTTCCTCAGAGTTTAGTATTTTTGTGATTTTACCTTTTACATTGTTCATGTTGTTTACCACATCGATGTACATACTGAAAAACTCATTTGTAAAGTCATCAGATCAAAAGCTATTCTGCAAAGAATTTTCAAAGTATGTTGCATAACTTGTTTGTAATTTGTCGTTTTGATTTGTGCAGATTTTAAACAAAATTGCTCAGATTGTGATAAAAGCGTGAAATTTTACATTAAAGTAGTACAGGTCATGGAAAACATTTTCAGCTATGGAACCACTCTGAAAGACAAAATTAGCGGGAGAAGCGGACATTTTTAGATGGCCTACGTTTGTTTTCTTTAAAATACTTTCATAAAAATTATATAAGTTAACAAATTGACATGAAACCTGGTACAAAGAGTGACAGTGCTTACTGTCAATTCAGAAGTGTTTGATCAATAGATGACAAAAAAGTACAAGCTTGATAATCGGACTTTAGCAAAGACTGCATACAAATAATGCTATTGCAATTTAAAATGCAAATTTTTATTTTTGAGAATCTAAGTTGTTGCAATATACGCAAATAAAACACAACATGAAAAATGTTTCAGAATTTTCATTAGTACAATCAAATTAAATATGAATTATTCTCAAATAGAATCATGCAAAGATAGAAACGCTAAAAACAATATTGAAAAACACAACAACAGATTAACGATATTGTTTAAATGTTAAAATCCATATTAAGACTGGACAAATCATCTGTAAAGTCACCAGATCAATAATTGTTATGCAAAGAATTTGCAAAGTATGTTGCCTTATTTATTTCTGATTGTATAACACGTATAAGAATGCATACAGAGATAATTTAATGATATAAAATATGATGCAACTGTTTATGCTGATCTTAATTGATTTCGCCATTTTTTTCCGAAAAACTTGTTGTGGTTTATGATATGATAACTTGTTGAAGTATGAGAGTATAGATGTATCAGCGTTTAAAGTTACAATGACTTTACAGTTGTTAACGAACAACAAACCAAGTTTTGTCATGGAAATGATTAGTTTTGGCGCATCGTGCTTATGCAGATGTAGCTGAGATTTTACATGTCAACGCTTTATTAGCAATACAGAAGGGCTCCAATCATTAGAGATATTTCGGTTTTTCCACAGATGAAGAAATCATAAAATATATTCATTCCTTATTAAACCTTAACTCATTCATAATCTACTCTTATCTATCATTCTTTTTGTTCATAAATGATAGTCGGGAAAACTATTTTATAAGCCTAAAGATGCTCTGAAGTGTGCACTATTAGCTATTGGGTCACTGAAGTTTCACCAATACACTATTGTGTTCATATACAAAACATTATTTCACTTAGACTGAAGTATTCCGCAAAGAATAATTTACCTCTTCAGCTATTCATTTATGTTTGTAAAAAACAATTTTCACACTGTTTAAGCAATGAACAAACAGCATTATAACTTTAATACATATACGTACCCCCGTGTTTCAGGTTCATTACTGCAAAATAAAATGAAATTTTCTTTTCTTATTAAGTGTTATTGTGAAGTCACGCATCCTAAAATAAAGCAGATGAAACGCAAGTTTGTATGCTATGTTCTTAAACAAGTAGTTATTGGACTAACGGTTCAAAGCAATTTCAAAAGAATTTGTCACATCAAGATGTCTATCATGTCTATTTGTTCTGAAGACAATTCTTTGACTTAATTAACAAAATAACTTCGTTGAAACACACCACTTCATCAATGAGGTAACAAAGTGTGTTTTGTCTTGTCCAAATAAATCTACCATCAAAGGGGTAAATGATTATGTTTTGTTTACATATTCTATATTAATGTCTTGTCTTTTTAATTTTGGTCGTGGTGTTGTCTCTTTCTTAGACTTCTGCTTTGAAATTTTCGATTGCTTGGTGCTCCTTGATACCCTGATGTCTCATCTTTCTAGAGATCGTGCGACTTTTGCGTTTTATTTTCATATTTTGGAGTATTCTCAAATTTCAATATTTTCTACTTTAACATAAGTGAAACATAAAGAAGGGACACGATAAAACAAAGACCAATAAGTTTATGCAGAAAATTTCCTATTCTATCAGTAACGTCAAACGCATGTGAAATCAATAAAATTGAAAAAAGAAGACCTGTCGAACATGCTATCTAATATACTAAGAATTGATTGTTAACGAAACGTTAAGATCCATCGACTAGTTTTACCGAAAATTTAGATTTCTTTACTAGAAGTATCTGTATTGTAAACAAATTAAATCAATTTTATAAAATGCTAAATCACTCTTTTGCTTCTCATAGAAAAACATAACTAATATCATATATAATAGAAGTTACGTCCTGGACCAATATAGCAGGACAATTTACATTAATACCAAAAGCGCAAACACATAACCATTTGAAAGCCATGGAATTTATAAAAACGTTTAAACATAAAAACTACATTAACACAAATGAACCTCAATATAACCAAATTCAGCTACGGTAAAAGTCGCTATGAGAAATTATACACTATATCATATAAGATATGAACTGAAACATACAAGTTCTGTTGATTACAAATTAAAATCACTATCATCTATTGTGTACAAACGAATCAAATGCTTTGTCGTATATTATAAGTAAAAGATCAAGTAAACATATTAACTTACATTGATTGCCGTTTAAAATTACTCAAAAACATTTATTAAGTAAATAATGACACATACATATACGTTTCGACAAATCAGCAAGTTTCATTCATATACATTCAATACAATATAAAGAATATTTTTAGTATAAGCGAACTTTACTTGACACATACGCAAAATTCAGTAAATGATGGGTTGTATGAAAAGAGAAAAGACATGCAAAAAAACGTTTTCCGTCTCAAAATAAGTTAAATGAGACCATCTTTATATATGTTGTACCTATACTCGTTCGATTTAGTACGATATACTTACGTTGAAACCTGCTCATTCCTGTAAAAAAATCCAATAAACATGTCAAATAACAAAATAGTACAAAACAACAAATTTAAAGTGTTTTATTTATTTGTTTCAAATTTCAGACACAAGTATGTGTTAGATATTCATAGCAGGTTTAATTAAAACGACTTTTAAATCTCTACAGATTGCCTCATGCCAAGACCAGTTAAGGACAAATGATACAGTTACAGGGGAGGTGATGACTTCGCTCACGTATCATGTAATGTTTTGCGACGTCAAATTTTGATATATCGGGATAACTCTGTCGCCTGATTTTGATCCTTTAGACTAATCTAACTTGAAAATGAGTACATAAAACAGTCATTATAGCAATTTCATTTGGCCTACTTGGTATGGAGAATATTTGTTCTAACATTTATGTAAAAATCACCGATGAATTCGTTTTAATAAGAGATATGTAAAACAAAAAAATCCGGTCTTTTACTAAAATTATGAATTTCAAAAGAACTGTTACAAAACTTGGAATCACAATTATGGAGAGAATATATTCTAGGTTACAAAAATCGGCTAGCGTTTATCCATTGAAACTAAAAAAAAGTAAGGCATGTCTTATAAAGGATAAAAAATTATAAGACTTCAAAATTTCCAGTAAATGTATAATTTTCGGAACCATTTATCTCTATAAGTAGCACATACAGGTACATTTTGTTAATTACATATTTAAATTGAATAGATGTAAAACAGCTTGTATGCAAACTTTTGTCAGAAATTAGCCTTGGAATAAAAACTGTATCATATGCCCTTGAGAGATGCTGAGATTTAAATTAGTCACTTTCCCTAAATATTTCAAATGTCTTTATTTATTGTTAATTTTGCTCACAATGGAAATAAGTCCTTATTTTTACATAAACTCAGACATTTTGAATATGTTTTATGATATGGTAACGTATAAACTTGTTAGCAATGACAGATGCTGTTGTGATTTCACATTTGCAAACACACTGGAAATGAAATTTACAATCAGCCAGTTAACACACATCTAACTATTAAAAAAACAACATTTTTAAAGTTGCAAATATTTTACTTACTGGCAAAAAATGCATACGTATCTGTACCTCGTTTGCACTGCTGGTGGCCTAAAATGTGATTATTTAGAGTGTATTTCTTATTTGTTTTAATCAACCTGCAGGAAATTTGCAAATGCGACGAAGATAAGACAAATAGCAAGATGTATGTCAACATGCTTTGAACAAGAACTACCATAGTCTGACAAAAGCGGGGTGAATATACCAACGGGACATCAAACTCAGAAGTCAAGAACAAAATGACAATGGTTCTGACATTGTTTCACATAATGTTTTTATATTGTTTCATAGGTTAATTTATTCTTAGTGTAAGTTTGCTTGATTTTGGTAATATTTCCTTTTGATCGAGTTAAGCAATTTCAACTTATATTTTATAGTTTGTCCATTTATGTTGTTATATGATACTACTGCTAGAGGTAAGGGTGATGATTGGCGTCTGTTAAAACGTTTAAACCCGCTGCCTTTGATGGAACCTGTCAAAAGTCAGAAGCCTGTTGTTCAGGGGTTGTCGTTTGTTGATGTGTTTTATTAGTGTTTGTCGTTTCTCGTTTTTATATAGATTAGACCGTTGGTTTTCTTATTTGAATTGTTTTACACTAGTCATTTATGGACATTAATAACTTGCTGTTTGGAAGGGGTGAGCCAAGGCTCCGTGTTGAAGGCCATGCTTTGACCTATAATGGTTTCCTTTTTAGAAATTGTAACTTGGATGGAGAGTTTTCTCATTTGCACTCATACCACATCTTTTTTTTTTTTATCTACTGACAATGTTGCGGCATAACACAAAAACAAAACACGATCAAAAGACACATATATGTATACAAAACACAAAACTAACGACTGAGCAACGTAAACACCTACAAAACAAGGGGTGTTCTCATGAGTGCTTGTAGCGGAGGTATATTTTCCAAATGACTTTATTATCAATGATAATAGTAAATCTGATCGGATTATAGTGTATATCGAAAAAAGAACTGAACTTATAATGATCATAAGTATTCCAAACTTCATTTTTTTTAATCCAGTCAACTAACAACTTCGAAAATTTTACATTTCTGTAGCAAATACAAAGACCGATTGTTGCGAAATATGTATTTATATTTCTTGTTGTTCCAAGTTGCTTTTTGAACAAAGTTCACCTTATTTGACTTCATTAATACACTATTGAAATGCATTCGTTCATAAATGTTCATGACTATCATTCTAATGACCCGATTGATCTTATAATTCGAACCTATTGTGTTTGTTCAGAAAAGCCTTTCGGACTGACTGCATAAATCATAACCTGCTTTTCTGAAAATAGTATATATAGAAATGTATGGATTATTTGGAAACCATGTGTCAACTTTCATAAGGATAGTTCATCTTAGGTTGTTTTGACGATTTGTCTTGGGGTCACTGATTCCAACGTTATTCATGAATCACTTACTTTCAAAGGTTTTGATTTGTAAATTCTGAATATAGGTTATGAGAGAAGCAATAAGATAAACCAAATCATTGATATTTATTTAAGTTAGATACTATATACATATTGACATATTGTATGGTTGACTGATATATGTGTCTAGTAACAAAAAAGTAAGATAAAGATACCGAACTCAGAAATCCCGAATCAAATGGCGAAATCAAAAGCTCAAATTCATCAAACGAATGGATAACAACCGTCATATTTCTGATTTGGTACAGATATTTATTGTGTAGAAAATGATGGCTTAAACCTGTTTACTTCTTATTTGTATGACAGCAACATAAAATGTTGTTATATTGACAACTATATGTGAACAAAACAAACATTACATTATAGGTAAAAATTTCAAAAAATACGGGTACAGCAGTCAAACTTGTGATATAATAATAATCACTATGAAACAAACAAATGCATGTATGTCAACAAAAAACACAAAAAGGAATATATTGTGGAAAAATTAATATTCATTGGATACCAATTTTCTGTTTATCTTTTCTTTTTTAGCCATTTTATTTTTCGTCGTACGTGTTTTGATGTCCGTTTGGAATATTACGCACTTCTTTTAAAATATTCATCGTCATGCTACCAATGACAACATGGAATGAAAAAAAATATATATACGGTTTTTATAATATAAAGATTTAGTCAGGTCTACTTCAATTAAACGATATGTGAAAAGAGATTATCAAAGTCTAAATATTAATGCCATATTACCATGAATACAAACTTTGACTTATAGGGCACGGTATCATGTGACAACGGCTAACTAGACTTTACTCTGACCCACTTCAAGGTTACTTATTTAGTTACAGATGACTGGGCTATTCAACCTATTGTATATAAACTCATCATAGAGACCAGGATTGAAATTTTGTATATTCACCAAACGCGCGTTTTGTCTGCAAAAGACTCATCATTAACGCTCGAATCAATAGAAGTTAAAATGACCACATAAAGTACGAAGTAGAAGAGCATTGAGAACGAAAACTCCATAAAGTTTTGACAAATATTTATTGTATTTTATCGTATTGTCAGGAGCTAACAATCTTCTTCTTTGTTCACACCCACTTGTAATACCTTTAACGACGTAATGTTCGACTGCAAATTAATGTCTCCTATCTTGTATTTGTGTTGTTTCGGTTTGTTTACTTTGGTCGTTTTAAAAACAATAAACACTGACTTGGGATCTTGATAGTCTTATTGAGTAGGTGTACTTAATACAACTTTTAAATTAATAAAAAAATAAATATGATTACCTGGTATCTTGTTTGATGTCAGTGTTTTCCTGGAAAGCTTTACCTTTCCTAAAACACAAACAAATCACTACATAATCAGCTGAACTAATGTTGAATAAATATACAGCATGTAGTTATTTCAACTCATTTTTTACATAAAAACAAATGACAAGTTCTAGTTAAGTTCATGAGTAATGATTAGAATATCATTATTTCATACGTCAAAGGTTACAAACGAAGGATGAAACAAATTTTCTATTGTCAGTAACACAACAACGTTACATATACAAATCATAGTAAATACCATTGAAACCATAATAATTTAATACAACACGAAGTATTAATAGAAAAAAAATCATAGCATATGTCCGAAAAGCCTTTCGTACTAAAACGTAACGAGGAAAGCTCCAGCAAAGATAGAAGAAAGCTGGAGATGTATTCTTATTTAGAAATGGGAGGTCCTAGAATACCAAAAAAAACCAAATTTCACATCAAGTAAGAATAAAATGTCTTAAATAAAAAATTGGTAGAGGAAGGTTGTCTACACAACAGATAAATAACTCGGTGACTTAAACATGTACAAGTCCCACATTAGCGGCAACTATCAAGTGCTAAAAAATGCAAATAGTATTTTCAAAACTGGATACCTCCTTAGTTAGTTCTTCATGATATACGCCAAAACCCTAGCGATGTTTGAAACTTTATTTCTTAAAAGTTTCACTTTGAAAAGATCCAACATTTATTTTAGAAACAATGTTACAAATGTTTCCGTGGCAAAAAAGAAATGCCAAATATTGACAGACACGTAAATAAACGCCATACTCGAAACATAATAAAACATGACCTTATACATGTTAAGAGAGGGGACACATTGATATTGAGGTGCACGTTTTATATCTATCATTGAAGCAGGACAAGACAATGATGCTTAAAAGCGCTACCTTTAAATCAATGCGACAGTACTTTACTGATGTTCAGATACAAGTTTGATTATATATTGAATCTAAAGCTGCACTATCAGATGCTTAAATGAACTTTGTGCCATTCTGTCATACTGAATGCTTGCAAATCTGTTTGTTTATTAGCCTACCTGTCTGTTCCGTTGTGTATTTTGTAAGTAATGAAATGTTTAAGTAAGCTACTCTTCGACCTATGCCACACAAAAAACCTTTGTTGTATCAAAATAAATGTACGACATTTCAGTTTTAAACAATCCCGAGCAATGTTTCCTTTCCTGGTGACAACAGTATCACTCATGAAAATATACCACTGTTATTAAACAGCCATTGGAAAATGTTCTTCCTGTGTTTGCCTACGAAGCTAGATATGCGTTTGCTTTTAACAAATGTTTGTTGGTGTGTTATGTATCCTTATTTTGTGTACTGTTGTTTACATTTTGGAGTTTTTTTTGTCAATGTTTTGGCGCTTTATTTTTAACTTATAAATTCAAATGTCCCTTTGGTATCTGTTGCCTCTTTTTTATTGCTGCAAGACAAAACTTTTAAATAACGGGGAAATCAATTGTTTTAGAAAAAATTTCTCAAACAAATACAATTTTAACACCTTATTTACCCTTTTTTTTTAAACAGTAACTTTCCGAAATTGCAACTCTCCGAATAGGCTGTCTATTTCTGTGCCTGAAGCCTTTTTGTTTCTGTATGACACAGACAACCTTTTGGGAACTTGTTTTAAATCTACGTTGTCAACATCAATTTTTAATTGTTTCAGCTTTCGTAACAATAGTACATCTGCTATTGTTTCCATTTCCTTGATGTTCTTTTGCCATTGTTGACAGTTTTCGAAAACTCCGCGATAAACTTTGGTTAGTGCAGACATATTTTGTAATGCTTTCTGTTCCTCATCCTGTACTAGTTTAACAAAGTTATTTACTTTTTTATCAATAAGTTTTTTCCAGTTATTCCCTTCGTCAGTTATGAGCTTGATGACAGCTTTGACTTCCTCGCGGTAGGCTTGTGTATCAGTCTCAATTTTGCTAAGGTTTAAGTGTGAGGTCGCTACTTTTGATTCAATGTTCGTAACCAGTTCTGATTTAAGTTTATGCGATAATTCAGTAAGGTCTGTCATAAGATGACGGCTGTTTTTTTACGGTGCAAATTCTACACACAGGAGTATCACACTCATGACAGTAGAATAAGAACATTTCTTCATGTTCTGTACAAAGTAGTTTTGCTTCCTTGTTAATGTTTGGTCCACTTACAAACGTGTGGTTTTTACAAGACTTCGTGAGTAAATGAGATGATTTACAGCTTCCACAAAACAACTGATCACACTGTTGACAGTAATGTTCTCCAGGTCCACCAGTACATATTTCACAAGTCGAAGCTGCAGCTTGGGCCATTTTTGATATTAAAGATAGTACAGAAGTCACCTGTGGTTAATTAATGTAGGTGCCAAGCGTAATCAGGATAAACAAGTCTGTCAATTAAGTAAAGGTTTTAATCAAATCTAAAAATAGTAATTAACCTTTCAAGTTACATTTGGTATATTGATTTACAAGTACTTGATCATGTTGGTGGGATTGTTTAAATTGACCTGGTTGTATATTAAATACTATGTTGTTGCGACTGTTTCAAAGTTTAATCAACATAGGGAAATACAGATATTTAACAGTTAAAACAAGTTCATAATGAAGTACGTCATGGTCTACCAAATCTTTCCATGTTGACTATTATCTTTTTACGTGCTTTTCTTTTAGTCAATACTTATCCTACTCTATTAAAATTATAAAGTGTTGTAATAAATATTGAACATAGACTAACACTATTGATTAAATACATTCATCTGCAGTGATTAGAATAAAGATACCTGTCACATAATAGTTTGAACTAGGTTATCTTTATATAGTAGATCCATATACATAATAAGCTCGTATACTATTTATCACTGTTAAAGTCGTCAATGTCTCCCAAATCTTACGAGATTAAGTTTTGTTTATTTACGTATTATTCCATTGTTTGTTCTAGTTCTTTAAGTTAATACTTACCTCTTACTCTGACAAAATTATAATGTTTTGGTAATAAACAATTTAACATTGACTACCACTAATGATTATATATATTTACCTGTAATGAATAGAGTGAAGATACCTGTCACATGTTAATTTAAACTAGGTTATCTCTATGTATTAGATCCACACACATATAAAGTTTGTGTAGTATTGATCACTATAAAAGTCGTTGATGTAGGATTTGTTTTGTTTTCTTTCTTACACATACTAAAACTGATCTTGAAAATTAGAGTGTTGATTTTATTATCACTTGCTTATCTTTAGATTGATAAATGTATTTATATATGTCTATGTCATATATATAATAATGCATACACACGTTGTGTATTATTCTGCAACTGAAAAAAAATGTTTTATTCCGCTGTATAGTTTTGTTAGATGATGAACATGTATAAATGTGACGAAGAGATTAAATCACAAAATACATGTGTTCGAACCAGCAAAACGAAATGATATACATATGTGTGCATGTTCATAGGATTCTTTAAGTTATTTTTTAAAAATGATATATGAGATTTGAACATCAGTATATTACTTTTGAATTATGTTTCAAATGTCAAAACATGCAATAATATATTTACGTATGAAATCTGCTCATTTTTTCCTTTTGATTTAAATGGATTTTGTTTTCACGAATAATTTTCAATTCTATCTTAGCAGTATTTAAAACATTTGGGAAACCACTAACGCAGGAAGCGGTTTGCATCAACAATATCACATTGGAATAGCTCAAATGTCTGATATGGTCAATACAAGATAGATTTTCTTCCCGGTTCATTTGAAGAAAACATTTAACTACATAATTCTTTATTTTGAATTTTTTGAATTTTGAATATTAGGACAGGCGAAATGAATAGAAAAACCATCAACGTAAGTATAAATATATTTCTTTAAATAGCCATGTGTGTCTTTTCTTTTTTGGATTCAATCTGGCTAATAGTTATCAAAGGTACCAGGATTATAAGAGATTCCTTGTTTCGTCATGTTGAAACAGTCAGTATGTTCAGAAAGTTCAAAGGTTAAAACGGGACACCATATATTAAACATGAGAAATTGAAATATCAATGAAATCTACAGGTATGAAATTTGAACCATTGGTGTATCATCTTTTTTTTTTTATCTTGAAGTTCAGCCGTTAAACGTGATGCATACCAGTAATATAACATACACAAGATAAGAGATGTGTGACATTATAAGTCCTGTGCTAATTGTTTATTACAAATATAAAATCATTTGAAGCATTTTTTTTTTTGGTTAAGTCAAAACCGTGTAGTTTTCGGAGATGTACGTAAAACTTTAAAGAATAGTGTACGGATTACAGTACATAATGCATAGTTTACATTTAGATTGACCACAATCACAACATACAATGCTACACACAAATATCATTAATAAGGTACAGCCTGATTGCCAGACTATGCCTTAATGATCATGTTGAAGTATGTAAAATGAAGACAAATTGACCCTTATTGAAAACCTTCTACATATTTGAATATTTTGAAGACTATTTGTAAATGACGTTGTCATGTTGTTTGATGCAAAGTTCCCTAGATTCTGCCCCACTGTGTTCTTCTGAATGTACAGCATTTCGTTGATAGGGAATTTATGCTTACACGGAACTATTGCACCACGAGTTGCATATAGTAAAAGTTTGGTCATCCCTTCCATAGTTTTAAGGTTGATTTGGCTGGCCGTTTTTGAAAATCTGTGTTGCAGATGACTACGGACCAGTCCACATTTTGAAACCACAATCCCGTTCTCCAATTATAGGATCTTTATGAACACAACGCGGGTGTCACATTCTGAGCAGGAACGGTTTTATATCCGGTTTACCTGCATTCATCCCTAGTTTCGATTTTAAGGCTTTAAGGGGTTTGCGTTTCTGTTTCATTTTTGGCTCTACCGCTGAGAAAAACTTTAGGAATCGTCGTTCTAAAACCCTTGTTCTATTGTAAACTTCCTCATTCAGTCAAATCATACAGTAAGGGAATGCACATGAGCCAATACCTTTGTATTTGTAGTTTTCGTATCACCTGATATGCCAAA